GGGGGGGGGGGGGAAGGTGGGAGGGGAAGAGACATAAATCAAGGTCACTTCACATAGTCCTAAATAGGAAGTCATTCCCTTACTTTCCTCTAGGCGGTAAAGCAGCAAAGTGGCATCTTGGATTCTCTTCACCACGTCCTTCCCTGCTAATCTCTACTATGGGCTTCCAACAGCCTATGCCCACCCCTGTCAGCTCTTTCCCACCCCCAGGCCTTTAGACTGCTGTTTGCAATGTGCCCCCTGTGGGGCGCTTCCCAGGTCACTCAACTAAGGAAAAATGGGGTCCCACTACCCATGCAGGGCTCTAGAAATTAAGCAGCGTTTCATACATGGCGTCTGCCGTCAAGGAACTCACAGGAGAGTGGGAGGTAGACACAAATAACCACAATACAAAGTTTAGCGACGTTCTCTTTTGCAAGAATAACCACAGATGAGGGGATAGGCGTTGGAGCCACCAATCAGCCTCTTTGTCCCCTTGGGGAAGCATTAATGACGCTGAAATGAGAAGCCAGAGCTCCCACCAGCCCCCTCCTCAGTCCCACTTCTTGTCCCCAGGCAAAACAGGAACCACAAACCCCAGCTTCCTCTCACAGAGTGGCTGTGGCTTAGGGGAGACGGAAATGGCTGAGGTGTGGATGTAAGACCTGAGTCACTTGAGTTCGCCACATGCCCCCTCCCCCATCCCCAATGCTGAGGTCTCCTGTTCTCACTTATTTTCTTTCCGTCCTCCCCCTTGGCTTTTGGCTCTACACGTGCACCTGATGCACGCCCACTTCCCCACCTGAGGTGGAGGCTGCTGTGGGCACTGGGGGGAGTGGGCAGGGCCTGGGGTGGGGATGTGTCAGGGAGAGATGAGGGAAGAGGAAGTGTCTTGGGTCCTGGGGAAGACTGGCTTGTCTTGGTGGGTGGGGACGGTCATTGTCAGCTTTCTGGACACACAGAGACAGACAGGATGGACTTCCTCCGGCACCACCTCCCTGGGCTGCATCGGGCCTTGAGGGGAGCACTGGTGAGAGGGGCAAAGAGATGCCAGAGACTTATGCTAGCGGGGGCTCCCTGGGGCCTCACTTTCCCTCCTCTTTGAGCCTCTCCTTAGACTCAAAAATCCTTTCCCCAAATCAGGTAGCCTCCTAGCCCAGTCTTTTCTGGATTTCAATCCCCCACCTCCACAAATGCATCCACACATCTCCAGTCTAGGCCCTTTCTTATTCCTTCTGCAGATCCTATTCTCCCCCTCCTCCCAGATCCCAGAACCCCCCTTCATTATCCTGAGCTTCTCTGGTGCAGGGTCCCCAAGGAAAGGGCTGAGCCTCTCTTAGTGCCTTTGCCCCTCTCCCTTTTCCTCTAGGGTTCCTTCAGCACCTTTGTCTCCTACCTCGTGGGAGATGACGTCCCCACTGTAGAAAGGGAGGCACGCGCAGCCGAGGAACGGGGGGAGGTAGCTTCAGGAAGGCCAGAGAAGGTTGTAGAGGAGGAAGCCCAGGAAGCCCTGGAGGGCCTTAGAGGCAGCCACAGCAAGGGAGATGATGGGCCAAGAGGGCCTGGAGAGGCCAGAAGACGTCAGAAGGGAAGCTCAGCTTCAGAACAGACCTGGGGTTGGGGAGAAGGCAGCTCTCACGGGTCGCAAGAAGACAGGCAGAACACTGGGGCCTGGGAGGCAGCCAAGGCTGCTAGGTGTCTGGAGCCAAGTGCCCCCTTGCAGGCTGAAGCAGGGTCTGAGGATCACCGAGAGGGGAGAAGCCAAGCCCAGGAGAGTCAGGAGCTCAACGTGCAGGAAGTGAACAGAGGGGAGACGCTGAGAACCTGGGAACAGGAGGAGGAGGAGGAGGAAGAGGTTAGGGCAAGAGAGCCAGGGATGGCCAGAGGGGTGGAGTCAGAGTGGCCCTGGCATGGGGAGCCAGAGGGGAAGGCTGGTGCTGACGGGCAAAAGGTGGCAGGGGACAACAGGGAGACAGAGCAGGTGGTCAAGGAGGCAGTTGTAGAGGAAGCTGAAGGGGCTGGGAGGGAAGATGAGGTGTTAGTAGTGGTAAGGGGCAGCCAGAGCACAAGGGCACAGGGGACACACGGCCCAGAGGCAGAGTCTGAGGACCGGGCAACTTTGGGCAGGGAGGAGGCCAGGACAACCTCATTCAGAGAGGGCACTGATCTCCCAGGAGTCAGAGAGACAGAATATGGGCCAGTCCCCGAAGAAAGGATCCCAGAGGCTCCTGGGAGAGCCTGGGTCCCAGAGGAGGCCCTCGAGGGAGACCAGGAGGAAGAGGTGGATGAGAAGAGTGAGGCTGAGGTAAGCCTTTTCCCCAAACAGATCCAGGCCCTGGGAACTGAGGGGTTGGAAGAAGCAGCTGAGGGCCAGACAGCAGCAGGGGAGGCTGCAGGAGACAAGGAGGCAGGAGAGGGCTTTGAGGGGCAGGCAGACCAGTGTGGGCGAGAGGCCGAGGAAAGGCAGGACTCAGAGATCAGGGCTGATTGGGCCAGTCTGGAGGAGCCGGGACAGGTGGAGGAGGCACAGGAGGAGGAAGGGCATTGCTGGGCCACAGAGGCTGGGCTGCCCCTACACAAGGAAGCTGAAGGTGATGCTGACTTGGAGATATCTCCAGAGGCCGGGCCTGAGGAGGAGTTCGCTGGGAAGAGGAATGAGGAGGCTCACACAAGCCGAGAAGCATGGCAGGTGCAGTGGGGTGGCCTCAAACACGAGGTCACTGAAGGCCAGGAGCCCGAGAAGGTGGGAGGTGTCCAGATCCTAACAAAGTACCCCAAGGAAGGGCAGGGGGGTAAGGAAGAGCTCTGGAGCATCCCATCCCTGAGCAAAGACGAGACCAAAAGGAGCCTGGAGGAATATCCTGGGCACACGGGGCATGGAGAGCCTGAGGCCTCTGAGGCAGAATCCTGGGAAAACTGGAGGAGAAAGCATGTGGAGAGAGGAAACACCCAGGAGGAGAAAGCAGGTGCTGAAAAGGGGGAGGATGCAAGGGGCCAGGCACTGGAGGCCGAGGCCCAAGAAGGTCGACAGTCTGCACGAGCAGAGGTCCCAGAGGAAGGCGGGGAGTGGAAGAGGGCAGCGGAAGCAGGGTGGGGAGCAGAGGAGGGAGAGGCCTCTCAGGCAGAGAACCAGGAGCTGGAGGGAGGCCACGGGGCAGAAGCAGGGACAGGCCAGACACTGGAAGAGTCAAAGGCCAGAGAAACCAAGGATAGGGAGGTGGAGACCGCAGGGCCTTGGGCACCAGATGGAACGTGCAGGAGAGGCTGGAGGCTGGAGGTGGCGGCACTGAGCGGGGACCCATGGCCCAGTTCTTTGGCTGCCGAGATGGTAGAGGACGAGGCAGGCCTGGGTGCAAGGGCTGCTGGGGCTGGGGAAGCTTGGCTGTGCAGGAGAGGCTGGAGGCTGGAGGTGGCGGCACTGAGCGGGGACCCATGGCCCAGTTCTTTGGCTGCTGAGATGGTAGAGGACGAGGCAGGCCTGGGTGCAAGGGCTGCTGGGGCTGGGGAAGCTTGGCAGGGGGAGCTTGGGAGAGGCCGGGACTCAGAAGGGAAAGAGGAGGCTGGGGCAGGTGCGGAGCTGGCTGAGGCTGCGGGACAGCACAGAGGAGGTCAGGAGTTTGGCCTGGAGGACCCAGCAGAGGAGGAGGTGACCAGCAGAGGTGACCAAGCTGAGGCTTTTGAGGCCAGGGAGGGTGAGCCTGGGGGAGGGCAGGCGGAGGTTGGGGAACCTGCAATGGTAGAAGGAAGCTGTGGGATGGATCACTTTACCTTGGGCACCCAGGCAGTGAGGGCAGAGGGCACCGTGGCCACAGTGGAGGCTGAGGGGCTCCCAGGACAGCAGGTGCTGTTGGAAAAAGAGGCTGAGGGATGGCAAGCGACAGAACAGAGGGAAGGCAGTGAGGGTCGGCATGGGGACCATCACCTCGAGGGAGAGGCACGGAGGTCCCTTGATGTGGAGGATGTCGAAGTGACTGGAGGCCGGAGAGCGGAGGCCAAGGAGACTGACCCCGAAGGCCTGGAGGATGTCAAGGGCCAGGAGGAGTGTCCCACAAGCCAGGACCTTGCGGAGGCTGCGCCTGGGCCACATGGGGACGCTGAGACAGCTGTGGCTACAAGAAGGAGACGTTCTCCTAGCAGCTGGAGTGAGGTGAGGGCTCATGTAGGACCCAGGGTGGGATGGAGAAGACTCCAGAAGCCAGTCCCACAGTCCTCTGGGCCCTTCCCTGCAGGTCCTGCTCCCTGGGACCTGCCTGGATGTGTCCATCCCGAGGAACCGTGTGCTCCTCTCACGAAGCTCCTCACAGCGTCGCTCCCGCCCCTCTTTCCGTCGGACCCCAGCCTCTGAGCAGCAGGAGGAGCCTCCCAGCCCCCAGCCCGAGGAGGGGCTGTCAGCCCCTGAGCAGAAACTTCTGCAGCTAGAGGAACCCCCAGAGCCAAGACCCATGAGGCCTGAAGGCACCCCAGTGCCAGCCAGGAGAAGGCCCTTGGGACATGGGTAGGAACAGGGTGGCTGGACTGGGGCTGGGAGGAGGCTGTGGGCACTGGGGACCAGCTCCCATGGCCTGTCTTCCACTTCCAGGTTTGGCCTCGCATACCCTGGCATGATGCAGGAGCTCCAAGCCCGACTGGGCCAGCCAAAGCACCAGTGACCAGACCCTCACACTCTGGGAGCCTGTCCCTGAGTGGGGCTCAGAAGGACCAGTAGGGCCCTGCGCCCCTGACACCCTCAGCCACCTTGCATGCATCCTACCACCCTCTAGTCCTTGATTTCTTGGTGTGTCATTCATGGAGCAGACACCAGATGTCTGTGAAGACCCTGAACTTTAGGAGTCTGATCCTCCAGTGCTGGCTGGTGGACCACCTACCCCACTGGGACCCCTCTCATGGGTCCCTGCCCTGAATACCTCCCAACCTGTCTCAGCTGTCCAGTAGACTGGGAAGAAGATGAGAGGGGACAGGGACATTCTCCCACAGCCTTCCGTTTCTAACTTCCTCCCCCTTCCTCCCCACTTCCCACCTGCCCAGCCCCTCAGACCTGTGCAGGAGTAACACCCACCTCTGGAGCTGAAGCCAGCTCCAAGGGAAGGGGTTAGGAGGGTCTGAGGAACGCCATTTGCAATCAGAGGTTGATGGGTAGCAGACCAGCTGTGCTGAGCTTCCAGTAGGGTAGCTCAGCCTCAGAACTCTGCTAGTTACTATGGCAAGCGCCAGCTGAGCAGGCCAGAGTGAGGAAAGGCAGGCCAGGAACCCCAAAATGTAGGAGCAGAGAAGCATCCAGGGTGGCCAGAGGCTGCCGACTCCATTCAAGGCCACCCTGCCCTTGGGGTGTCAGGAAAACGTTCCCTGAAAAGAAGTTGAGGCGTGGGGGTGGGGGAGCATGCTTTATTAGGCACCTAGCATGGTGGCCTCACCTGAGGAGGAGTAGCAGGCTCCGAACAATAAATAAACCAAGATCTCTCTAAACAATAAATAAATATCCAAGCAATAAATATCTGCCAAGGACTGAGGGGCTTTAAGTTATTGGGTGGGGTCTGGATCTGGGGGCTGGTGGATCTCCGCCTTGTCTAAGGCCAATGAGCTGGAGGCTGTCCTGTTGGCCACAACGCCAGTCCTGGAGTCCTAAAGGGTGAGGGGAAGGACTGAGAAGTCACTCTGTCAGGGCTGGGAGCCAGGGGTGGGGATCCCCAAGGCCTGGACTGTGTGCCCAGCCTTGGACAGCAGCAGCAAGTCCCGCACGGCCCGAGCCAAGACGAGCTCCAAGGAGTGCAGCAGCTGGTAGGTGTAGAGGAGCTGGGGCCAGGACACCTGCACCAACACCTTGGCAGGGCCGCTCCAGGGCCCTGGGAGCAGCCCCTTCCCATCCTCCTCTTCCTCCTCCTTCTCTTCCTCCTCCTCCTCCTCCTCAGGGGTGTTGGATCCTGCAGCCAGCACCTGTGACGAGAGGCCCGTGGGTCAGAGAGAACCAGAACCAGAGCAATCCTCGTTCCTTGAGATGACATCAGTGACCGCGAGTCATGATTCCCCTGGACAACCCCTACTTCAGATCTTCCATTATGTCATCATCTTACGGGTCCTGCCTGACTTTTTGGTTCAAGAAAATGGAAGTCACAGAGCAAGATGATACTCAAAGAACCGGGTCCCTCCCCCAGGATGGCTCTAGAGTTGGGATTCAGGAAGTGCCTCTCTGCTCTTAGAGATTGTCTCAGGATCAGAAATGGGCAGAGGGAAGGGTGACATAGCTGGTTCTCGGGCTGCTTGCATTTTCTATTCTCCTTTTGTTAGGGGTGAAATGCAGATTTCCTTTTGAGGTGTTTGGGAGGACCTGGTGATGTCAGGGGGCGAGAGGAGAAAGGGGAGCAACTTCGCTGTGGGGCTGCTCTTGCCAGCACTATCCCAGATGCTTCTGAGCCCTTCTGTCATTTGAGGCAGAGGTTCTGGGGGTGGGGCCGGGCCTGGTGCCACTACACACTCACACACACTCGCACACTCATGCGCTGTCACTCACGCTCACACACTCACTCTCACACTCACACACATTCACTCGGAGGATCTGGAGCATTCCCCTCCAGACTTACCCAACCTGTGGGCAGGGGGTGTTTTACAAAGGGACCAATGAGCCTGACTTCTGTGCGTTGGTCTCCGGGGTCAAGGAGGGCGGGCGGGCACTGTACCTGGAAGCGGAGATGGTGCTGCAGATCCCGGAGGTCCAGCCTCATGGCCCACAGCCGCGTCCTCTCAGAGCTGGTCCAGCCCCCCTGGCTCCCCAGCCCTCCCAGCAGGGCATGGAAGGGCCGAAGTGTCCTGGAGAGGAAGCAGAGTCTTTCTGGGTCCTATGCAAGGGGAGGGAAAGGGTCAGGAGAGGCCTGCAGGCCAGGAATGCCCCACATCAGACCCAACCCCACCTCTATCCAGGTCTCATTTCCATTCCAAACTCCGGCCTCCATTCCGTCCCGATCCTCAACTCCATCCCCATTCCCTTCCTGTGCTCATCACCATTCCCAGCTCCACCACCTTGACCTCTGTCCCATCTCCTTTCCCAGCCTCATCTTCAGTCCCACACCCAGACTCTTCTCTGACCCCAACCCATTCTCCATCCCCACATTGCTCCCCATCTGCAACCCCACTCCATTCCCTTCTCCACCATCCCATCCTGTCTCCTGCTCACTTTTTTCCCTATTTCCAACTTCTTTCCCATCCTCATTCCCATTCCTAATCCCAACCCTATCTCTCCTTCACATGGAGACTCATTCTCACCATTTTTCCATCCACCTCCAACTCCATCCCCAGCCCCATTCTCTTCCCATCCCCACCAGCAATCCCCATCCCTTCTCTACCCCCCACTCAATTTCCACCTTCATCCCCAGCCTTCTTCTCGTCCCTAACACCAGCTCCATCCCTCCTCCATAGTACTCTATCCCCACTCCCATCCCACCTCTTTCCATTCCCAGCTCTTACCCTCTTCCTAACCCCATTTCCTTATTCTAGCTTCATCTTTATATCCAACAACATATTCAATCTCATCCAGATTTTATGCCCAAATCCATCTTCAGCTCAATCTTCAACTTCATCTCTATGCAGCCCAGTCCTTGCCCCATCCCACCAGCTGCGCACTCACAGAGAGGTTGCGCCAGGCCTGGAAGGTCAGGGAAACGTTGGGGAGCTGCTCTCCCAGTGGCAGCAGGTCCAGGCTCACTCCTGGCAGGTGAGATTCAGCCTGTGGGGCAAGCTCTATTAGTGGGGGCCAGAGGGGTTGGGGGTCTGCCCATCCCCAGGGCCAGCTGCTTTAGGAGAACTTACAAAGCGGTGGGCCTGGCCCCGAACCTCGGAGAGGAGCTTCCTGGCAAGATGCAGGCTGACTGTGAACTCCCTCCGCAGCTCCTGAGGGTTCAGGGGGGGCTTTCCTGGGGGCCTTGGAAATCCCCAGACACCAGCTCGCACCAGGAGCAAGGAAAGCAGCAATAGGCTGAGCCCTGGAGAGATGGAGGGACAAAGGGAGAGCTTGGGAAGAACTTGAGAGAAGGAAGGGAACGGCTTTTCTGAGCCCGTGTTATGTCTGAGCACTGTGAGGCCACTTTCATAGGCATGCTGTCCCCTCAAAAGCATGATGGGGCTGTTAAGGCAGCCATATGGCATAGCTATGCAGAGCGCCCACCTTTGCAAGCAGACAGAAGGCTGGATCTTGACCCCCACTAAACCCCTTGCCAAGTTCCTTTTTCAGTGAACAGCCTGCACAAGTGCATGTGGCAGCCTGGGTGCTGTTTATTCTCCCCTATTTGCAGATAAGGACAGTGAGGCTTAGTGAGGTTGACTCATACAAGGTCAGATAGCCAGAGGGCGGGGGAGTCAGCACTGGATTCCAGATCTGTCCAAATGCAAAGCCCATGTGCTTTGCCCAGGAAACTCAGAGGAGCCAGCCACCTGTCCCAGGAGTGGGCACACTCTGTTCTGCTAAGGATTCCTTGGGCTCAGCCAGGCAGCTCTGATGGCTCAAACTGGCCACTAGGGCCCCAGGGGTGGGCTGGCAATGCCGGAGGCTCTACCCCAGGGAGTCGGAAGGACAGGTTAGTCCAGCCTCCACCAGGCAGGCGGATCACCATGCAGTGGAACCTGCCTGGGGCACCTTTGCAGTGTGGGAGGGAGAGGGATAGGGGGGCTCTGGGAGACAGAGGAGGGCCTGGTATGGGAGGCAGAAGTTTTGTTTGTCACCCTGGTCTACCCTTGAGCAAGTCACCTCATGTCTGTGCCTCAGGGCCCTATCTGTAAAATGGGGGATTTGACTGGCTGACTTCTGAGAGTGCTGCCTGCCCTGTGTTTTCCTGGAAAGAGGGGACAGGGGCCACGGGCTTGGGCTCCGGCAGAGCGCAGTGTTCAGCAGTTTCTCAGGGAGAGGAAACCTAGCAGTCATGGGAGTTACACAATTCTCCTCAAAACACAAACCAAAACTGGCCACCAGGTTCTCCCTGTCTCCCTCCTCTCCAAGTCTCTTTCCTGTCCATTCTTGAGCTCAAACCCCTGAGCTCTCTTCCTTGAAATCTCCCTCAGTAAAAGTTAAGGGGAGCTTCTGGGGACAGCCACTCCCTTCATGAGCTTCCAGAGGTGGTAGGCAAAGCCTAAGATCTCTGGCATTCAGGTTCCCTGGCTTGGGGGCCACTCTGACCCTCTGGCATCCTGGAGGTATAAGGCAGAGTGGGGTTCTTCTTAACTCTGGGATCAGAGTGGGTGCCCCCAGGCTGTGGTGGATATCGCCCACCCAGAATTGAACTGTCACACCTCCTACATACTCCCACTTCCTACCTGAGCTCTGGAGCCCCCAGTCCCCTCCCTACCCTGAGTCCTTGGCCCTGGACTTTGAAGGCTCTGTCCCCATCCTCAAGTCCTTGGCCCCTATGTGGCCCAGTCACCTGCTTCTCTGACTACAGCTTGGGTTCTAGCCCCTGAGTTCCTCAGCCACTGACTGCAGATTAGATCTCCTTCCAAGCTTCAAACTGCAGACCTTTGACCAAGTTAGGCTGCTGATTCCTTGGCCTCAGCCCCCACTGTCCACTCCTCCTGCTCTTCCTCTAGCCGGCCCTACATCTCAGTCCTAGCTAAGCTGTCTGGTCCTGCTCATTCACTCCAAACTCCTCATTTATCTGCATAGTCCTGGTCC